TGCAAGTCCATCTGTAAATCAAGCAATAAGTTCTAAGTTAGCTGTGACTAACCCAGAAAAGGGGAACTTGATAAAAAAATAGAAGAGTGAAATACTTTTGAGTTAGCTCTAGTAGCTTTGCTGAAACTTAAGAACATAATTAAAATGGTTATTTCACTATTCTTGAATTTTGACAAATGGCTTCTAGCAGACAAGTGGTCTGGATCAAACTAGATTCCCAAGTTTGTCCAGAAATTAACTGGTCCATCCACTATTAAAGAAGCCCTTTCCTTGTCTAGACACTAGCCTTAAAATGAGATAATGCCTGCATTAAACCTAAAGAGCCTCACCACCAAAGGATTAGATTTAAAAATCAATGCATCTCTGCCAACATTGTAAAAAATGTGTTCCAGAAGCTAGAGTTCAAGATATCAAATAAGTTTGAGAAACACCAAATACTCTACACATCTTTTGAATATTCACAATGTGTAAAAAGAGACCTTCTAAGACCTATAATCAAGAAATTCATTTAACTGTGCCTACCCCTGAACTTCATAAACTTCGTACTGCCAAGAACTCTCCTTTTCAAGGAGCACTTGTTAGCATCCTGTGGAAAAATGGTTCCATTTCCTTCCCAAAATAAAATCAGCTGTTCTTGAAATTCAAGTGCAATGACTTTACTACAGGCTCCAAATATACATTCTATTCTTGCTGTCCTCTGAAAGTAGGACAAACAATTTATTGTTATGTTTAAGTATCTGTGTGTTTTTTGGATGTTTGTTACACTTGCCAACAATGCAGCTCTAGGCCATGCTCCTATTTTAATAACTAGAAGTGAGTGGTATTTTGGAAATTTTCTTAAATTAAGCTCAATTAATTTTTTCCTGGCAACAATAAAAGTATTAAACTTCCCAATCAAAAAATGTTTGACACCTGTAGATGGTTGTTGGGGTTGAGCTGGATTCCAGTCACCAGATTTCTATGTCCTTGCAATACGTGTACACATTCTTCTGTAGTTGTGCTATAAACTTTAACAAAGTCTCCAGAGACACAGAAGATGTACCTGCAAAAAAGGGAGAAATTTCATATATTCTAATCTTTTTATTATCCATTAAAAAATGCAGTACAAGTTTTTTTCAAAACAACAGTTTAAGAATTGTTTATTTAAATTTGTGTACTTGTTTAAGTCTACAGGGACATCTAAGACTGATTAGTTCATCGTTAAAAAAATTATTAGAAAAACAGTAAGAATATATCTTCTGATGCTACTACCTTGTTTTATCAAGTCTAAAACCCTGGATTTTTCAAATGTTCACTTCTCTGAAGTCAGAATATATCTTGTAAGTGCTGAAGTTAGAGACAGTCAAGATATAGTCGAGTGAAATTATCTAGTGGAAGACCAAGAAAGCATGAAAAAAAAAACAAAAAAAAAATAACAGCTGAGGTATATGGTCTCCCCTGTGGCTGGGCCCTCCTCTCCAGTATTATGAGTATCTTAGTTCAGTCTTGCATCTCCAGTCTTGACCAATCTTAAGGATTTCCTGTAGTCTCCAGGTTTGATGCTTCAATTTATCATTCGTACTCTTACCAGGCTAAATCTGCAAGTTTGACCAAGTCACGTCCGTAAATAAAGATAAAATATAACTAAAGTCTCTCAATGTTTTCCCACTGCATTCAGGATATATTCCAAACTCCTAAGGCCTTTCGTGATTTGTCCCCATTCTGACTGGATCAACCTTTCAATTTCAACAGTGTGCTCAAATTAAGGGGTTCTCAATACCAATCCCATCCTCCCTGCCATCAACCAGATCACACCCTGTTAGGCAGTGTGGTGGGCAAGGGGGGATATCTTTGTCGATGAACTGGAGAAGCAAGAAGTTGAAGATGGTATTAAGCAGGAGCCAGCATTTAAATGAGGCTTTGAAGGATGGGTGATGTAAAGGTTGGGAGGGAAAAAGCAAGTAAATAACACATGTAGGAGAGACAGGGAATGTACTCTTTAACATGCAAGTGTGTATAACGGATTATCATGAAACATAAAGTGAATTAAGTGGCGCTGAACTAGATCAGGGAAGGCCCTGAAAGCCAGAAAGTTGAGTTGTAGGCAAGGAAAGCAACAGAAGGCTGTTAAAGGTTTTGAGCAAAACTAGGAACATGGTGATAGTCATACTCCAGGAAGTATTACCATAGCAGCAGTATAAAAGTTTTGCAAGGGAAAAATATTTATAATCAGGACATGAGCTCTGCGGTAATTTAGAAAGGTAATAATGACCAACTGCTTTTCTTTTCTTTCTCTTTTTTAAAAAAAGATTTATTTATTTATACAAGCACTGGGTACAGTCAGAAGCGTGGGAGGGTGAGAGAATTCACCAGAGCCAGAGGGGAGAGCAGAGCAGGCAGAAGGACGAAATACACTGCTGAGGGGAGCAGTAGGCGCTGCAGAAGAGGTCTGTGCACCATGTGGGACCCTTGCCCGGCAGCCGGGGATCGAACCAGCGCTGCAGAGGCTGCGGGCAGCTTCGCAACCCAGCGCTCAACCGCTGCGCCACCGGGGAGGCTCTGCTTTTATTTTCTATATCTCAGCAACCAAATGCTACAATGCATACCACCACATAGTTGTGGGAGACATCAGGATGTGATGTGAACAGTACTGGACCAGAAGTTAGAAACATGTGATGTGTGAATGACAACATATGCTCATGTATGCCACGCACCCATCTCCCCTGATTGCCTCTACTGACAATCAAATAAGCAGAACAGTTTTTTTATCTTAGTCCCACGAGGACCCAGAAGAAGCTAAAATTCCATGACCTGATTGTTTAACTATTTCAGTTTTTTGATAAGGTTCTTAGGGTAAAATAAAAATTTACCTATTCCTCTTTGTATAAGGTAGTGAATCCCTTGTGGTTACCGTTTAGATTCTTGAGTTCATATAACCTTGTTAATTTGGTAGAGCACTGTTTTTAATTATTAGTGTCCATATAAATGACAAAAAGAAATGTATCTGTAAGTCTTGACCTAATTCTCCAAACTTCAATTCTGAATTTCTACTTGTTATTTCCCAGGTAGAAGTTGTTTTATAGGTACCTTAAACAAGCCTAAGGGGAAATGGTATCTTCTCCCTGTTCATCCCAATTGCTAAATCACTCCAAAACTGTCCTTTCAAGTCAATATTATCTTATTTCAGGTCCAAGTCATTTCTTGCTTGGCTGCCTGCATCTGCACTCTAAGGCCCCGTCACTACTCTTCTCCCACCACTTCACAAGATCCTATTGCTGCAATGTATACACTGTCTTCAGATTAATATCCTTGAGCAAACACAATGTTAATTCCCTACTCGCCACTTTACCTTATCTAGAGAAAAAATACCCTCTTTGGACCAAACAAAAAAATAACTGGCACCAAGTTCTTTTTCCAACCTCATTTCCCAAAAGCTTTGTTTATATACCATTCCTACTAGTTAACAGGACCCTAGTCTGTTCACTATAAACAGGCTTCTACTCTTACTTATATTGTAGCCCCCTATCTGGAATATTTTCTGCTCCTATCTCCTACAAATACTCAAAATACTATCCACCCATCTAAGTCTAGCTTAAATGTCACTTACTCAACTTTCTCCATCCTTAGCAGTTTGAGGTATTCTCTCTTCTTACAGAGCTCTTGAATTACTGCAGTATTTGTCATACATAAAACACGATGAAACATACTTATAAAATGAACTGCAGGACTTAGTAAATGAAACACACTGGATCTTACTACAGTGAGTGAGTAAGGTATGGGAAGTTGGAAGGAAGAAAACTGAATACGTAAATGTAAGGCCAAAGAACTTTGGCAACCTCTCGAAGCCTCCATTTTTCCCACTTCTTTCTTGATGAATATCAAGGAAGTCCTCTTTACTGTAAAGTACAAGGATTTATTTTTGCTTCTAATGCAATTTATGAAGCACTCTCAGGCATGCATGTATTCACCACCCATAAGCAAGATACTGTGGGAATACAAACTTGACTCTCCTAAGACAGAAGGAATTTTAGTGTCACTCTATCCTTAAACGACTTGAAAACCTCCTAAAAGGTGTCACTTCTAGATGTCAACAACACATCTCTAGCTGGCATACACTGAACCATTAAGTGCCAATCATAGTTTCTATGTAATAAAGCATTTAATTCTTCCAAAATCCCTATGAAATGGATCGCTAAATATTACTGCTATTTTACAGAGCAGACAACTATGACAGACTTAAAAACTTGCAAAAGTCACACAAAGTAAGAACGGGGTTTCAAACAGAGTGGGTAGTTCAATTTCCAGGTATATTAAACTCCCGAGAAAGGGGTACAGGTCTTAAATATTTTTATCTTGCACAGAACCTAACACCAGTTTTCATGCAAAGCTTCAAAAAGGATGTCAAAATGCCTTTTGGGGGGTGCGGGGGTGGGGAAGAAATTGCAGTCATTAAAAGTGAGTACTTCAAATCACGATCTGTCTCAAAGAGGGCTACTCTAGTGTTGCAAGGAGGGCAGAGGAGCACATAGCCACACCAGAGCTACTTTCCAGCCCCCTCTACAGCCCAGACTCTTAGGAACAGGAGCCCTCCCCGGGGGTCGGGCGTGTTTGCACTTCTTACTGCATAAGGCACACCGGCTCCCACCCGCGTGCTCAGCGGTTCCTCCTACCCCAGCGAGCTCCTTCCCCGAGCCCATATTAGTCAGACAGCCCCGAGCCCATATTAGCCAGACCCCCAGACAGCTCTTTCTCCAAGATCCCCGGGGACGCACGCCCAGCCCGACTGACAACGTGCGGTGGCTCCATACTTAGAATCCGCAGAGAACACCGCTCTCCTGAAGTTCAACTCGCTGCCGCCACAACGAACCACGCGGAGACTCTCCTCCTCCACCATCTTGGCGCAGATGCCGGAACTCGCGACTGCAGGCCCCGCCCTGGACAGCCTCTACGGAGGCCGGGAGGCGTCGGGAGGCCGCGCGTGTGTCTCCGCCCACAGGCCTCACGCACGGGTTCCTCTAGCCTCAGCCTCTATGGTAGGAGCCGGCGCCTGTGCCGCCATCTTTCTTTTGGGCAACGTGAAACTAGAACGCACGTAAAAGAGGTAAAAGCAGAGACACAGAGCCAAATAATTTGTATTATATACTCCTAAACTCGTATTTGGTACAGATCGTTGACCTTTTCTTAGAGGTACGGGAAAGGTGGCCCATCATGTGTCACGCGACCTCGGCCCTCCTCTTTATCACCGCGATTGGGGCGCTTCCAGATGACGGGAGTGTATAGTGCCAATTGATTTCTTTCTTAGTTGCTCAGTTGAATTCTTGAGTGGAAAATTAGCGTTCTACTCTTGCCATATTTTGTCCTGTTCTTCTAAGCATCACATACTTTTCTACAGAGTCTCCGCAGTTCCTACAGCCTTGGGTTTTCCTTTAGATGCTTGGCACCTTTCCAGGATTCTGGTGCATCCTTCTTCCTCAGCTTCACTGGGGCAGCTTGGGGGTCCATCTGATACTCCCAACCAACCCAGCCAAGTACCATGGATGTTGTACCCTGGCTTGCTCTGCGTTGTTTTGTGTGTGTTACTTTGGTCTTCACTTCTTCCATTAGTGAGACGTAATTTTGGGTTAAGAAACCCGAACTCTGAAAATGTTTATGCCTCTATTTCCGTTCTTTTTTAAATAAAGTGAAATACATATATATATATATATATACATATACATATATATAATTTTCGTGTTCTTTATGTATTAGAGGATACTTACCTTAAATCATTCGTACAGTAAATATTTACTGAGCCCTTCTGTACCAATTCTGTACTGCTCCCAAGGTTTAAAGAGCCACTGACACTTGAATAGGAACTGAGGTCCTTTGTGTCGATGGCAGTTTACCATATTCCTTCAGTCTGTCTAGAGGATTTTCTATATGTGAGACAAAATGCAGCCAGATGTGATGGGAGAGAGACACGACAAAAAATGTTACAACTGAATAAATCAGACCTGGCAATATAAGAGAACAATTTTCTCTGAGGAAGTTTAATTCTTCTCTGAAGAATGTTTGTGTGTGTAGAATGTTTGTGTGTGTTAAAGTTGTGTAGGTAAAAAAATGATATTTTAAAATTTCGGTATTCAGATTTGCTATAATCCAGTGCAGAAATGTAGATGAGTTATTCCAATCCATCTTGCACATCATATTGCCTCTTTTAAGAATTCCCTGTAGATTCTTCCTGATATTTTTCTAGGTTACATACAGTTTTGCATTTTTCAGTGCAATGTACTGCATATTCTTTTTATTCTTACAATATATTTGTTTTCATTGTAGTGTGTATAGGTCGTACCTTCTTTTGTATGACTGTATAGTGTTTTATAGGGCACATGTGCTATGATTTATTAAATCGGCATTTTAAAGCATTTATGTATGTATTTATTTTTCTACTTATTTATTTTATTTTATTATTTATTATAGAAATCAACTCACACAATTATGGAGAGACTGAAAAGTCCCATAATCTGCAGTCTGCAAGTTGGACACCCTGCAAAGCCAGTGGTATAATTCACTTTGAGTCTGAAGACCCAAGAAAAGGTGTTTGCTGATTGTGTAAATCCCATTCCAAGCACAGAGGAAGACTAATGTCCCAGCTCACAGTCAGGTAGAGAAGAAATTAATTCTCTCTTCCTCTTTCTATTGTCTTATTTAGGTCCTCAGTTGGTCATGAAAGATTCCCGTCCATATTGGGGGAGGTGCTCTCTTTACTGAGTTCACAGATTCAAGATTTAATCTCATCTGGAAATACCCTCACACACAAAAAAACTAGAAATAATGTTCAGCCAAACACCTGGGCACCCTGTGACCCAGTTAAGTTGGCACAAAATTAGCCATCATATTGGGCATTTATCTATTCTCTTAACCTGCAATATTGAAGCCAAATAAATGATATACACATAGGATATAACCTTTTGAGTCTAACTTCTTTTACTTAGCATATGTATTTGAGATTCATGTTGCTTTGTACATCAGTGTTTCCCTTTTTATTGCTTGGTGATATTCTGTTGTATAGATATTCTATATAATACTCTACAGTTTGTTTAGCTATTTTTTTGTTAAAGGATTTCTTTCCTCCAGTTTTTGGAAATAATTAAAAATAGTAAATAATTAATGAAACTGCCCTACATATTTATTTGTAGGTTTTTGTGAACCTGAATGGCAACAATCTAGATTACAGTCAAATCATATATTTATATTTTAAAGAATGTGCCATATTGTTTTTTCAGACTTTCTGCGCCATTTTGCATTGCCATTAATAATATATGAAAGTTTTAGTTGCTTAACATCCTTGTTAACACTTGGTATTATCAGTAATTTTATATTTTAGCCATTATAGTAAGTTTATAGTGGTGTTTCATTGTTTTAATTTCCAGTATAAATGTGAGAAATGCAAGATTTAGTCTATTTTTTCCCCTGTGTTTGTTCAGGTACATTCATTTGTTCACTCATTTGTGAATATAAAGGCAGTGGTCATTTTCTGCTGCTCTTTTACGATTAAATTTTTAAATTTGATTTATAAATTTCATTCTTTTCTGAAATTTATAAATCAAATTTAATCTCCAATTTGTTGGAGATCAGGAGGAAAATCAGTTAAGGGAGGTAGGAAGTGTTAATTAACTCCTCTAACACTGAGGTAGGATCTGCCAACTTGAAACTGGAAAGTCTTAAAATTATTTTTCGAGACTTGAAAGTGCTAGGAGAAGCATGGTGGTGTACAGCTCTGATGGCATTTCCCAGGAAATCTGACAAGGCAGTATAGGCCTTTTGTCATAGAAAAGTGGAACTATGGGTAAGAAAAATGGCTATCCAAGAATCTTCAGAAGAGTGTCCTGGTCATCCTAAAGAGATGCACATTTCTGTAAATGAGGTGACTTAGCACCTTTTGAAATAGGATTTGAAGTAAATATAAATCCTAAATTTTCATTTAATTCCAGATCTGGTTAAGTATCAACCTCAGAATTATATAGACTAGCCTGAGCTGTTTATTTCAAAAGAAAACATTCAATTTAAAGCTTTTTTTCCACAGAGGTTTATGTATACAGATATATAGATATCTAAAGTTGAAATTCAGTTTTGTTCTCCTTAGTATTTGTTTCTTCCCCACTCTGCTCCAAGTGAAATTTGTGGAAGAAAATTTAGATCTTGGCTCTGAGGTTACCAATTATATAATATTCTATTTTGTGTATGAAACTTTGTATTTAACTTTCTTGTTCATTAAAAACCTCACAAATGTGGGAAAAAACTAAAGACAGGAAAAAAAGTATAGAAAATTTGAAAATAAAGACAGGAAAAATACAATAGAAAAATGTTATAAAATAAATGTAGAGTTAGCAATATTTAAATTAATGTAATTTGGGGGAAAGCTTTTTAAAAATGTAGGGTTAGCAATATGTAAATTCCTGTAATTTAGGGGAAAGTCTTTTAAAAATGTAGGGCTAACAATATTTAAATTAATGTAATTTAAGGGAAAAGTCTTTCTTTTAAAGATTTATTTATTTATGCATACAAGAGCTGGGATACAGGCCAGAGATGCGAGGGGTGAGAGGATTCACCAGAGACAGAGTGGGGACCAGAACAGGCAGACTGACTGAAATACGCTGCTGAGGGGAGCAGCAGGAGAGACAGGAGATGTCTGCTGCACCATGTGGGTAGCTCCCTGGCTGACTGGGGATCGAACGCTTGCTGCAGAGGCTGCGGATTGCTTCATAGTGCAGTGCTTGGCCCCTTGGGCCACCAGGGAGGCCCTAAGGGGAAAGTCTTTTTTTTTTTTTTTTTGATTTTTTTTTTTAAAGATTGATTTATTTATACAAGCACTGGGTACAGTCAGAAGCGTGTGAGGGTGAGAGAATTCACCAGAGCCAGAGTGGAGAGCAGAACAGGCAGACTGACAAAGTACACTGCTGAGGGGAGCAGCAGGTGGCAGGAGAGGTCTGCACACCATGTGGTATCCTCGCCTGGCAACCAGGCAGCCGGGGATCAAACTGGCACCGGGCAGCTTCGCAACCCAGCGCTCAACGGCTGGGCCACTGGGGAGGCCTGGGGGAGGGGGGGGAGATGTCTTTTAAAGAAACAAAGAAATAATTTTATGTTGTTAAATGATACATTCTATTAGGAAGATATGAGTGGTGAATTTCAACATAGCTTCAAACTACATAAAGAATGATATAAATTAAAGGTACAATTGCCAGTCACAAATTAGCTGATCAAGGGAACTAAAAAGTAGAGATGTAGTGTATATTAAAGTAATTAGACAGAATGATCTAGTTTGTAGATTGACCTATTTACATAAGACAATATATTTTCTGCCCAAACACTGAATATTCACCAAAATGAACCATCATTTAGATCATATAGACTATTTAAACAAATTCCAAAAGCATACATAGTGCAGGTCATATTTATTGACCAGAGTTTAACAAATTAGAAATTCAAAAAGTGAAATAACTGCCAAAAGAACAATGAAGAAAACAAAACCAAAGTATCCATTTGGAAATTAAAAAGTAATCTTTTAAATACTATTAAAATGTGAAACAGAATATACTATTAGAAATTAAAAATTGGAACACTAACATAAAAACTACAAAGAAAACAATAATCAGAGGAAAATTTATCTTAAAATGGCATTGATTAGATCACAAAAGGGACTGAAAATTGCTTATACAATTATCTTAAAAGGCCAAAATGAGAATAACAAGACAAACCTAGTTTAGAGTTCTTTCCATCATATTCCATTAATGCTGAGTAGTAGAAGGGTATATAATTTCTTTGTTTTTGTGATTCTCAAATGTTTAGCCCTTATATTTGAATAGATCCCTCATGTTACTTTTCTAACATACAGAGAAAGCCCTGTCTATGGAATTTACTTATCTACAAAGTAGAAGAATTAAAGAAGACTTTAATGTTGCTGTGTCTTGTGACTAAGAAGTTGTCAAAAATGGCAAGTTTTGTTTTTTTTTTTATAGCTGACTAGTATTCCATTGTGTATATGCCACATCTTCTTAAAGCACTCATCTTTCCTTGGCTACTTAGATTGTTTCTATACTTCGGCTGTTGTAAATAGTGCTGCAGTGACCAGGAGTGTATATATCTTTCTGAATTCATGTTTTTGCATACTTTGAGTAGATATATAGGAGTAGAATTGCAATATCTTAAGCATATTTTGAGAAACTTCCATACTGTTATCTAGAGAGCCTAGCAGTCTATATTACTGCCAATAGTGTATGAGGGTTCCTTTTTCTTCATACCTTGAGAAACACTTGTCTCTGTTTTTTTGGTTTGTTTTGATATGGGTGTTCTCATGGGTTTGAGGTAGGACAGAAATACTTTATTCTTTATGGTGCTCTGTAACTATTTTTAAGAACAAATCAATGTAGCATCCAATGATCTATGATAAACAAAAAACTTTCTAATTTAAAAACTTTTTGGATAAGCCATTTGAAGCAAATAGACCCACTGCTAGAGTTTTTACTTTTAGCTGGGCATCTGAATCACACTTTGCAACTATGCCAGCCTTTCATTCCCAAACCTGACTCTGCCCCTCCCCAACCTACACTGCATTACACCATGCTGTGCGGGGGACTTGTAAGCTTCACTTTCTCCTTTATTTATTAAGATATTTGTCCTTCCCTACAATGCATACCCCTTTCTCTCAAAACGGAAGATTTAAGTAAAATATTAAGAAGAGGTGACATATCTCCTTGGGCCCAGTAATAATTCCCTTAATACTTTTTAAAATTATTTTCCCCCCTGGAGATTTGGCTGTGATTTTCTGGATGATTTTGATTTCAAGCCTTGTAACTTGATTACTTCCTCAGGAGTGGGATTAGAGGATTTTAGCTGCTTGATTATTCTCAGTTTGGAAAATAAATTTTTATATAAGCTCATATACATTCATGTGACAGAGGAGTTACACCTACAGTGGGAAGGAAATACCTGATATAATGAACCATTTACTCCTGAAGACTTACAGGCTGCTGAAGTGCAGGTGTCTCGGTCTGGCAATAAAGGACTGTCACAAAGTGTCTTGACTTATTTTCCAATCTATTTTCTTTTATTTTTACCTCTATGACCTTCACTATGGGAACCCCCCACCCCAAATATTTCATGATGATTTTAGATCTGTACTTCTATTCAATGTTCCTTTTTTTTAATTTCTAAAGCAGTTTATTTTTTTATTTTATATATTTTTTACATCATTTTTCATTTTTGCACAATGTATGCATTTTCACCTCGGTTATATTCACCATACAATTCCTTGAGCTGCCTTCTTGCTTTCATCCTGTATATCTAAATCCTTTTTCAAGAGACACAAAACTTCTCAATTCTATTCCATGAACATTCTCATTTATCTTTCTCAGAGCATGAGGAAGTGATTTTTATTCAGAGGACTTAAATTTTCCTTTATCACTCATTGCTATTCAGTTTTATAAGAGCTCTTGAATTGTCTCACATTAATATTTGATTTGCTGTGTTTTGATGTTCACAGATGGGCGCTCCCAGAGGGCAAAACAATATATTGTTTTCTAGATACCGTAATGCAGTATTTACTATCTTGTAGATTCCTAGTTACTATCCATTGAGTGAAGATTTGTGCAGTATGTAAATTATCAGTGAACAGACCCTATATTTATGAAGGCTTTAATAGTATTTGCTTTCCAGAGTCTGGCATGAAGATTTTTTAAAACTTAAACTACAATTGCAAAATCACAAATCGACCACATGGTGGCAGCAAAGGTACATCATTATTTTCACATGTTTTGTGCTCTAGTTTACCTGAAATTGTAATTCTATTAATTAGCACATTAAAAAATATTTTAATGTCTATATAATAAGTATATTTAGTGGAATGTTATTTAATGAACATTTCTTAATATAGGGAAATTCAAAAAGATTTTTGATCTTTTATTTTCTTTATTCACAAAGGGCTCTTTAAGCTCTTGAATTCTACATTGTTTTGGAATGAGACCTCTTCTCTTACTGTTTTATCCCTCTGCTATAAAAATTTCATGAGTATGAAGAACTGTTCTTCAACTCTTGGGTTTTGAGATGGGGTCATTGGTGGCACACAAGGTATTTTGTATAGAATATAGACATAGACATATTCTGTTAATGGTATTTGTAATTCTTTTGCAGACTGGCTTCTTAGTACTATTGCCTAAGTTTAATTTCCATGTGTAAAGTCATACTTAAAATATGTAAACTGAAACAGATGTTAGTAGTCTGAGAATGCATTTGGTGCACGAAGCAACAGATCTCTAGCTTCTTCCACCTCCCCACTTTATTTTGAAAATCCTTTTGAATAGAAAGGGGCCTCTGGAGAATTATCTAGTGTCTTTGACCCCATTAGCATGTAGCAATTCATTCCTGGGAAAGAGTTGTCCCAAATAAATTCTGCTTTAAACCCCTTTCCTAATAACTACTTGTGACAAAAACAATGGCACTGGAGGGATAGATTATGCTAAGCAAAGTAAGTCAGAAGGGGAGAGACAAACACCGGATGGTGTCATTTATATGCGGAATACAGAGAAAGCAAACAAAGGGCCAGATAAAGACAGACTAATATCAAACCCTAGAAACTGACTGTAGAACTGAGGTTACCAGAGAAGGGGAGGAGGGGAGAGAGCTATTCCATATCTGCATCTTTGCTACAGTAACTGGGGAATCAGAGCAGATCCGAGCATGCAGCACAGTGGTAGTGGTCATGGCTGGCATGACTGGGGCAGTGGGGGCTGCAGGGTGGGTCCTCCAGTGAGGATCCCTGACACCCAAGGGGCAGGGCTGGGCATACAGTGTTGGTGGCAGCCTTGGCTATGGTGAAGTCTCGTGGGAGGTTGTGAGGCTTCTGGCCACTTTGGCCTACTCCCTGACATGGACCCGGTGTCTCAACAGTCAGCGTGGGTGTGGGGGGATCTCATGAGAGATCATAAGGCCTCTGTAGGTCCAGGTGGGTACTGGCGGAGTCCCACAGGAGGTTGGGAGGACTCTGACAGTTTGGGCAGACCCTGGAGTGGTATCTCATAGGAGGTTGCAAGTCCTTTGCAGGTCCAAGTGGATACAGGAGGGGTCCTGCAGAAGGTGGCAAGGTCTCTGGCCAACTGACACCCTCTCCAGTGTGGGTCTCAGTGTCACTAGTCTGGGAGGGCACTGTCAGAATCTCACAGAAAATTGTAAGGTCTCTGCAGGTTTAGCCGGTACTGGTGGTATCTTATAGAAAGTTGTGAGGCCTCTGGTCACTTATGCATCCCCCCTCCCCCCACATATGGGTCTGGGGTCTGACAGGTCTATTACATATACAAATTTTTTTATTTATACAAGAACCGGGGTATAGGCCAGATGCATGGGAAGGTGAGAGGATTCACCAGAGACAGAACAGAGAACAGAACAGGCAGACTGACCGAAATACACTGCCGAGGGGAGCAGCGGGCGAGGCAGGAGAGGTCTGCTGCGCCATGTGGGACTCTCACCAGCTGGCTAGGATTGAACTGGCGCTGCTGAGGCCTCGGACAGCTTCACAGTGCGGCGCTCAACCGCCTGTGTCACCAGGGGAGGCCCTGTCTATTATATTTTAAATGTAACATAAATCATTAAGTAAAACCAAGTGCAGAGTTTATGTGAAGAAACTTACCTTCAAAAACTAAATTCTGTTTATTTTATCAAGTCTTTAGAGTCACTGGAAGTACTTCAGTAATTCTGTTATTGGGTTTTTTAGATATACATATTAGCTCTGTTTTATAAAAAATAAGTTATAAATAAGTTTATAAAAATAATTTTTCTGCTTCTGGCTTTAGTATTTGTTTTATTCTCAAGTCATATATCTTTTGGGTTTGACACTATAGTTTTAATTACATGGAAATAAATGGTATTCTTTCTTGGGACTTATGAGAATGTACTTATGAAAGTTGAAAGTTTGGACTAAGAGTGTTTTACATATTTTATTTTTCTTTTGGGTTAGAATAAAACATACATTTAAATTAAGAGGGAAGCATTTCTGTTGCTCTCTTCTACCTAGTGCCTGACATTGAATTCCCCTTTTAATTTTACAGTCTGAATTGTCATAATTCTAAAACAAACAGATTCTAAGTACTGTAATTGCCATTTTATTTATTTATTTATTTATTTATTTTTTAAAAGAGTTATTTATTTATTTGTTTATTTATACAAGCACTGGGTACAGTCAGAAGCGCGGGAGGGTGAGAGAATTCACCAGAGCCAGAGCGGGGAGCAGAGCAGGCAGAAGGACCGAAGTACACTGCTGAGGGGAGCAGCGGGCGCTGCAAGAGAGGTCTGCGCGCCATGCAGGACCCTCCTCTGGTGGCCGGGGAGCAGCCGGGGAGCAGCCGGGGATCGAACTGGCGCTGCAGAGGCTGCGGGCAGCTTTGCAACCCAGCGCTCAACCGCTGCGCCACAGGGAAGGCCCTGTAATTGCCATTTTAAAGTTTCCATCAAACTATGGTTAGGAGTGGGTAGAAAAGTATCATGACATTCTTTAGGTTTTTGCTCTACTTAAGTGATTTAGTAAACAGTAAAATTTCAGTAATTTCATTTATGAAAGCTGCTTGAAGAAATAATTGGCTAATAGTTTTGTCACAAATAAATTATCTCATAAAAATGTATTTTTATTTTTTTATATAGGATATTTTTATTGTTAGAATGAAATGAATAGTTTTTAAAGGAATTAAGTGATAATTTTATTTATTTATTATTATTATTATTTTTAAAATTTATTTATTCATGCATACAAGAACCTGGGTATAGGCCAGATGTGCGGGAGGGTGAGAGGATTCAACAGAGACAGAGCAGGGAACAGAACAGGCAGACTGACTGAAATACACTGCTGAGGGGAGCAGCGGGCGTGACAGGAGAGGTCTGCCATGCCATGTGGGAATCTTGCTGGCTGGCTGGGTTTGAAATGGTGCTGCAGAGGCTGCGGACAGCTT